AGTGAACTTCTTGGTGCGCTTCTTGATGATCGCCTTGGGAATTATAGGTTTGACCATTTGAACCACCTCGACCGAAAAGATAATATATAAATAGATAAATATATATAGTAATATAAAATTAGAAAAAGGTTAATAAAAAAATGAATGATAAACATGTTTAAATTGATCATAATCAAAAGTAAATAACAAACTTTACAATTATAAATTATTATTTGTCAGCAGCAAAATATATTAGGACCCGAATTTTCTACGACTTTTTCGTTTCAGAGGCGAGGAAAGATTTCGTGCTATAATTGAATCCGATATAAGACGACTTGAAACTGCCCAAAGAGCTGATCTATCAATATAGGTAATAATTAGAACATTTCCTTTTCGAATGCCTAAGGCAAATGGTACATATCCCTTTGCCTCCTTCGTAAAATTGTGTTCGTCTTCGTCGAACTCATAGGGCTCAACAATCCATCCACTTGTTTCAAGTGCTGCGCTTAATGTTATGGAATACTGGTTGCAGATACGGGCAAATTTTGAATTACATTTAGGGCATATAGAACTTTCAACATCTTTTTTTGCTTCTAAGCCCTGGCCGCAAAAACGGCAAGGCATTACACCTATTTAATATGTTGAACTTAGCTACTTATATCAGCCTCGCGTTGCCCTGGAAGGAAGTAAAGGAAATTATAAAAAAAAAATTGTTACAAAATTTAAAAAGGGAAAGAAATAAATAACTAGTAAAAAATATACAAATGGGAATAACAAAGGTAAAATATATGCCCAAATTATTTTGGCAACTTTATAAATATATATTCACAAATATATTAATATATCTGGCACAGGCCCAACATCTGTGGAAATGTTCAAGGGACCACAATACCAGCACATGAACGACACGGCACCATCGCTCACAAAAGTCAAACTCCCCACCATAAATACAAAATTTGAAAATAGGACCATACCCTTCGTCCCGCTTATTTACTACAGTGTCATAGAAGTCGGATTATCTTCACTGTTATTTTAATAAAATAAGTTTGGAGTGGGTTCTGTGAATACGAGTGGGCGCATTGGGCCTTTATTTTTCTAGTCAATGTTCAAAGGCTGCCGCAGCTAATATTTTTAGTGTTGCTTTTGAGTGGCCTCAGTGGGAGTGAGTCTACGAAAAAAGTTAGTTTGGGGCTCTGGATTATTTTTCGTATATATTTTTTGTCAAATAGAAAAGGGAAAAAATGAGTCAAAAACGGAGCTGATGCTGATGCTATTTCTTAATGATCTATCTGTTTATATGAGTGTTCTCATATAACATTTTTATCTCACATAGGTAGTTATTATGGTAATTGTTATTCTATAGTATCCAATAGAAACTTGAATATCGACTTTTTATATTTATGTCGAGTCAAAGCCTTTTATAATATAGGCTTAAGTAGCTAGGTCTTGAGGTTTTAAATCGATCAGCTCTTTAAATTCAAACTTTTATATACTTCTAATGAAGCTGAATTACAATATAACATTAAGAATAACCTAATTTTTATTATTCTTGCTAATATATGAAAATGTGTATTTTTGAAAATGTGTTCCCTTCTTTCCCATAACCCTTTTTATTTAGGATTCCGTTAATAGAAAATGAAAAGGGAAAAGGAAAAACAAAAAGATGGAGTTGTCTTTGAACTCACACGAAAGCATGGATTTAAGGAGTCTCGAACCGAACGCAAAATGCGATTAAAACATGAAAAAGAAGAAAAATGGGGTAATAAACTCCAAAAAGAAGATTTGTCTAAATTGGCAAAGGAATTAGATTCTTTGGTGCGAGCTAAATTTCTCTCTCCACAGCAGAAAGAAAGAAAAAGATTGGTAGAAAAGATGATTAATTCTCTAGAAAAAAAGAATGAAGATGAAAAGGAACCTTTGCAAAGTCCTGTATTAAGTTCGTCGCAGAGTTCTGTTTTTGAAGAAGATCTAATATTTAAAGCCGACGACAATGAAAAGGAGACACATGACGCTCTCAGCTTTCTTCCCAGATGCTTTAAAAGTAGACGCAAAAATGTTGATGAAATTCCCGAGTTATCAAAATCTCAACAAGCTGAAAAACAGTTACTGGAAGCTGTTGCTGCTGATGATGATGACCAGGAGGCGTTTCTCGCCTCACTTATATAAAAAGAAATTTTAATAATGGCATATTTTGTTTTCCTTTCAAATTAATATACTTTATTATTGTTTTATTTCTTAGTACAGTTTCCATTTCGCTTTTTTTCCTCAACAGTAATGACGATGGAGTTAAAAACATGCAAAAAGTTATATTTTCAGAAATTTCAAAAAATTTACTTTCGCAAAAAGTCTTAGATTCATATTGTGCAAATCGACAATGGCTCCAAAAATTGCTATCGGATTTTAAATTGAAAAATGTGGATACAGGTACAAATTCACCCATAGTGCTCTTGTACGGATCTGTGGTGTCAGGAACATCATTTGCTCAGGGTGATGCAGACTTCGCTGTTGCTTTCCCAAAATATACAACAGAATTATGCTCGTCAAATAAGGGTTCTTTCCACGAAATCAACCATGATGATCAAGTGCTAGTTCTGTCGGATATTCTTGAGCATGTAAGGGAAAAATGGTCTTTTGAGTACTCAAAGCCTCATCGTGTTTTCCTTGCTCGCGTCCCTATTATTGAATACGTAAAAAAAATGAATGGGGAAAATTTTAAATTTGACTTATCCTTATCACTTTACGGTGTCATGAATTCGTTACTTGTTCGGAGATATATGGAAATCGAACCTCGACTCCATTTAGGAGCGTTATGCGTGAAGCATTGGGGGAAGAAGATGAAATTGATAAATCCAAGAAATGGATGGATATCTGCATATTCGCTTACAATACTGTATATATTTTTTATGATTCGTACGGGTCGCATAAACGATTTTATTGATGAATCTGAAGTTCAAGCAAAAATTCAAACTTTAACCATTAATTCACATCATTCCGAAAACGAACTCAATTCAATTCCGGAGTTTACAACAGTGTTACCTTTACAGGAATGTGATGTTGATACAGTTATACATGATATTTTTGATTTTTTCCGTTTTTATGGAGATACCTCCTTTTTTAATTTTGACGTAAACGTCGTGGATATTCGAAAAAATGACACTCTACAAAATAAAGACGAATGGCTAAGTAAGCTAGACAAAACGAATGCCAAAGAACGTTGGGACCTGCTTGGTTATGAAAATATAATGATACGGGACCCATTTGAAGAACATAACTTAGCTCGCAGTGTTGAATTTTTTAGAGGAGAGACAATTCGTGAAGCGTTTAGGACATCGTTTTCTAAAAAAGATCCTCTAAAATTTTTGTACGATATTGTACGTTGAAGCGATGTCCTTCTACTTGACGGAATATAAATATTATTATTATACCGATAGATATATATTTTTTAGAAAATTTCTGAATAAGTATTATGATAATAAAGTTGAACTACGTGAGATATTTATCCCAGTTATTTTTACCTTAATGCGTCTTTTCTGAAGGATTTCACAGTATTAATGTTTTTTCTAAGTTATTAGTTTTTTTTTCACTATATTCAAAGCATAAGAACTTTAACCTATAAAATTAACGTAACTCCTTCTGGAATACTATTAGGTATATCGTTCAATATGACTACTTCGTTAATCGAAACATCTTGTGTTTTTTGGTCATTAAACTCAACCACAACATCTGAAGATCTATTTTGGTGGAACAAAACTTTCAGTGTTTCCATCTGGGAAAATACTCTTCAAGTCATTAAATCTAAACATGCAAACCCGATTACCGATACAGATGTATGGGAAAAATACATCGAATTCCAGATTAACAATGTGTTTAAAATATGTCCAGTGTGTCGTTGCCCAGAAGGCAATGAGGATATGAAAATATGCTGCAATTGTGGAGATGCAGTTCATGTGGAATGCTCAGTGGATCCTACCCCGAGTCAAATTGCATCTAAACCAGCTAACATAAAATTTTCAAAATTCATGCGTGCGTGTTTTCAGTGCTATGAAAAAGATCCACACCTTGGTGCTTCATCTCGACCAAATGAGTTAGATGATCTTAGAAGGATAACAAAGCGTGTCTTGACCTTGAAAAATGAGCTCCCACCTTCGGTCTACGAAGAAGTGTTACAGATAGCACAGAAAGCCCATCCAACACCTAATTCCTCAGAGCTCATGACTCAGTTGAAATGTGTTGTACAGAGCGTTTATCAAAGCAAATGTTCCTTATCATTTTTAACGAAAATGAATATTAGCTCCAAATGTGGTGGTATTGGTGTCATTGCAGCCCAGGATATTCCCCAATTTTCCATTGTTGGTGTCTATCCAGGCTACATTGACACATTAAGTGGTGAACAAGCAAAGTTGGGTCGACCTTATCCTAAGTATGCCTTAATGGAACTGAATTGTGCCGATTATCATAATAAAGTCTTTATAGAATTTGAAGAAACCTTTACTCCCTTTATTAACGAGCCCAATGAAACTGAAACTAGTAACTGTGCTTGGATTCAAGAAACTAATCAAATGAAAGGTCGGTTAAGCATTATTACTGTAAAGAAAATTAATAAAGGGGAGGAACTCTTGATAGGATACGGGCCAATATATGCCCGAAATTATCCGTATCGCTATGATGCATATGCATTCCATCCTGTGGAAGGATACACTAATCCTTATTGCTATGTATTATGGCATTGGCCTACACTGCAGAAAGATGATGCAGTATTTATGAGTTACGTTGGTTACCTAGCAGATTCAGATAGATATGTGGATTGGGATAGCATAGCGAACTCCTGATGCATTTTCAATTGTAGTTGTTCGATGTTTGATATATTTATACATTATTAATACGACCATCATTCTTAATAATAAATCTTTCTTGTAATTTTTTCATTATCAGATTAACTTTTTTTTTACAATATGAATGCATGTCTTTTTTACTCTCTTAATGTCTCTGAACACTAAAATTTGTCGCTCCATATTTAATGAGTGGTGAATTTAAGAAAGCCTATTTAGTATTCTAAGAGAGTAAAGAAAATGAGCAAAAAGCGTGTAGGTCTGATTCAGCGCAGCGAAGACTTCTGCATTCCCGAAGTCAGTAAAAATGATACTGGTGTACTTTCCCCAGAAGATTGGCCTTTGCTTCTGAAGAACTATGACAAAATGAACGTCCGCTCTTCACACTTCACGCTGCTTGAGAGTGGATCAACTCCTCTCCGACGATCCCTAAGTGAATACATTAAGTATGGTATGATAAACCTTGATAAACCTTCCAATCCTAGCTCCCATGAAGTTGTTTCGTGGATCAAGCGAATTTTAAAATGTGAAAAAACAGGTCACGCGGGTACGTTGGATCCAAAGGTCACGGGTGCTCTAATTATTTGCACAGACCGCGCCACCCGCCTTGTGAAATCTCAGCAGAATGCTGGTAAAACGTATATCGGCGTATTACGACTTCATGATACTGTCAGTCAAAAGAAGGTTGATGCCGCCTTACAGCGTCTTACCGGCCCGTGTTTTCAGCGACCTCCACTTATCGCTGCAGTTAAGCGCCAACTTCGTATTCGTAACATTTATTCAAACAAACTGATCGAGTATGACAAGCACCGTCATTTATCGGTTTTCGAAACGCACTGCGAAGCGGGGACCTACATTCGTACCCTTTGTGTTCACTTGGGTCTCATCCTGGGTGCGGGTGGTCACATGGAGGAGCTACGCCGCATTCGTACGGGCGTTATTTCCGAGGACGATCACCTGTCGACGATGCATGACGTTCTTGATGCTCAGTGGCTTTACGAAAGTGAAAAGGATGATTCCTATTTACGCCGGGTGATTCTGCCCTGTGAATATTTGCTGACTAATTACAAGCGCGCGGTCGTGAAGGACTCAGCGGTAAATGCCATTTGTTATGGTGCAAAGCTGATGATCCCCGGGCTCTCACGCTTTGACAACGGTATTGAACGCGAGGACGTCATAGTTCTTATCACTACCAAAGGCGAGGCGATTGCCCTCGCGTATGCCGAGATGACAACCTCGCAAATGGCCTCTGTTGAGCACGGCATTGTAGCTCGGAGTAAGCGTGTGATCATGGATCGCGATACCTATCCGCGTCGCTGGGGACTCGGCCCTATTGCTGTGAAGAAGCGTTCCCTGATGAAGGATGGCTTGTTAGACAAATACGGACGCCCGCAATCTAACACACCATCCGATTGGTTCTACGTGGATTACGGTGGTGTGAAGACAAATGCTGAGGGTGTCCAGTACGGCCAGCCAGTAAAAAATGTTGGTGTGAAGCGTACTAGGGTTAATGATTCTGATAGCGATTAAATCATAAGTTAACTGCACCAATGACGATAAAGACAGTTGTGATAAAAATGATACAGAAAACAACCAAAATCCCAATACATATACAATGAAAATGGTAATTTGAGTATCACAAAGCTGATCAATAGTAAGTTCATTTAAAGAATTTTCTGGTTATAATATAAATAAATAAATCTATGTTTATACGCAATATTGACAATTTTAATGGGTACGATACGTTGCCCTAACGGATTGCAGCTCTCCTTTAAACGAATTCTAAAGATACTCTTTTTTACGCCAGTCTATCTAGATTTTTAGTTTTGTACTGCTATTTCAGTCAATTAGTATTCGTAGTATTCTTATTTTACTGTTATTATCAGGTAGATAGAGAAAAATGTCTGGTAAGCTTCGTTTTTTTAAAGAAAAGCTGGAAGGGTATAACCATTTCTTTTCTATCGTGAAGACGATTAAAATGGTTACAATGGCGAAATTTCGCCAGCTTCAGGTCCGCATGAAGACACGTGATTACACTTTGCGCTACACAGAGAAGGCCTTCGGCACTGCGAATGCTGTGGAACGTGGGGGCACTGCGGACAGTAAATACATGCAGGTTTGCATTCCTGTCATGACAAACCGAGGCTCTTGTGGTGCCCTTAATAGTAATATGCTAAAAACCGTTGATTTGATGTCGGATAGCAAAATGGTACTAATGCCTTTGGGAAAGAAAGGTGTTGAATCTATGTTCAAGCTGTACCCGGATTCGTTTGGGTACGGCATTATAAATGATATGAAGGAGCCTATGCATTTTGCTTATGCGACCTACGTGTGGGAAAATGTGACTTCTCTTTGCCCTGATGCTGACGGTTTTCGAATCATTTTTCATCGTTGCATCTCGGCTGGCTCACAGCGTCAATGCTGCTATAATATCCCGTCCTATGATAAATGGAAAGCCGATCTCGGTGACGCTTCCAGTTCAGAAAATCAGAAACACCGTTATCTTTTTGCCAACGCACTGCTTAACGAAGATGAGGAACTGATTCGAGATTTTTACGATTTTCACGCCAGCCTTGCTGTTCTGAATGCGGTCTGTGAAAATGAGCTTTCAGAGCAGGCAGCCCGCCTTGTTGCCGTTGAAGGTCAGCTTTCCAATATCACCACTCTCCAGCAATTAACAAGTTCACTGTATAACAAGACGCGTCAGTCCAGTATAACTTCGTCACTTATCGAAATTATCTCAGCAATGACTTCATTGGAAAGCAACTCTGCTAAAGGTGTCCAACGCATGAATTTCTGGGAAAGTGCTAGTAAGAAGTAAATGAAATAGAATATCGTTTATGCATTCCTTTGAAAACATTTAGTTTAGCATTTGGGTTTCTTCTAGAAAGTGTACGAGGGAGGGGAGTATATCGAAGCATATTGAGGTTTCCCTTTAGCTAACCCTGATAATATCTATATGATAAGATGTGACAATTGAACGTCCACATCTTGGAATTGCGAATCGGTCACATGTGGTCTACCCATCCCATTTTCTTTTCTTCCCTGTGTGTAGTCTTTGTAGGTTA